CAAAAGCCTCCTTACTTTCTTACAGACATCCTTTCGCTGATGCACAAAGCACTAATGTTGTTATTCACTGAAAACCTTGCCTTCCATCCTAGGTCTGAAATCTTGCTTGTGTTCTTGTACTTTCAAACCAGAACCAATCAAATTTTTGTTAATTTTCTTCTCCTCCTTCTCCTTATTCTGTTTTAAAAAATGCAAAAAAAACAAAAAAACAAACAAACAGAAATTAACAAAAAATAAACAAAAATAGCTATACACATTTAAAACAGTAAAAACACATAAATAACATGGTTAATATTAAGCAGAACAACTGTTTTCAATATTCTTGTATTATATTAAAATTATTAAAATGATGAAGCATCATGCGACCCTGAAGACTGGAGTGATGATGCCGAAAATTCAGCTTTGCCATCACAATAAAAAAATTATAGTTTAAAATATTTTTTTAAATATTTTAATGGTGATAATATTTCTCAGCATTTTTATTGCGTTTTTGACCAAGTAAATATATTTAGTTATTTAAAGAGGGCAGTACTAATTAAATGAAACTTTTCCTGATTTGGATAGAGGTCAGCTATCATGTAACAAATTGCCTACCCATAGCTCTACGATAACACTATTGCCACAACATGCTTTATTGTGTAAACTTCACTTGTCTGACTCACACACGTCACACGTTCCTTTTCATCTGCGAGTTGTAACTTTTAGAATATTTTCTCATCACCAAAACATTCCCTCAGAAAAGTAAATGACATTCTGCAGTTTAAGCAATGTTCAAGTGTGTTTCAGGTGTTTGCACACATTCATATGTTGTGATTGGGTCCTGTTTGAGATCTCAATGACTTGAGAAAAAGTCAGAGATTTTAATATAACATAACATTTCTCATTAAAATTTGCCAATTGTCTGATTTGGAGAAACATCACAGAAAAAGCTGATACACAGGATTTTTAAAGCTAACAACACATGCCATCATTTACACTAAAACAAAACTGTTCCTTTTGAGTCTGTCTCTGAAAATATACACTGCAAAAAAATGATTTTTCTAAGTTGTAAATAAAACAAAGATTACTGGAGTATTATTTCAGTCTTTCGACTTCAACATTTCCTGGTTAATTCAAAATGTCACTTGCTGCTTCTTTGTAATTATTTGTGAAATTGACTAGCAATTCCTAAGTTCAATTCTTTTATATGCTTGCATCCCTAAAAGGATCAGGAAAAAAAAAAACAGTCAGTGCATGTTTCTTCTTTAAAATACAGGATTTGTGCGCTCATGGATTTTCTAAAAGCATACAAGGAGGGAAATTTCTGCGAAAGTGATACACTACTCATCCCAGTGAGTCATTCTTTTATATTCCTGTCAAAGTGTTTTCTAACACTGAAGTGAAAATCTTTTGCGCATCCAGATTTGATTCTAAAATGAGAAGATCAATATTTAGCTAGTGTTTATAGCACGACACTGATGTTTGATTGCACCACTGATTGATTGGACGGTAAAATACACATAACGGGTGTGTTCGCGTGTAAATACAGGTCAGTACAGGTTCATGGCATTCTGACCTTCTTCTTAATGTAAAAAGTACTTTCCTGCTAGCTGAGAAGTCCTTCACTGGCAACAGTAAATATTAGCAACCACTCAGGAGGGTTGTTAATGGCCAAACCTTTATTCCTGTGACACAACCAGTTTCATGAGGCCTGTAAAATCAAAACAGTACAGAACGTCTCCACCTTCAAACGCGGCTGAATGACATACGCTCAGCAGGACACATGGAGAGACTGATCTATGTCTGAAAAAGACAGACAGTATTAAACCTTATGTGTGTTGCTTTACTCTTTCCAATGTCAACCCCCTTAGCAGGAAGTTAAAAACAAAAAAGAAGAGAAAGCATCTTTTGTTGGAGTGTGTCAAGGAAGTCCCAGAATCAGCTTGTAGTTTTTAAAATCTCCTTTGGATCTGACGTGTTTTTATTAAAGCTAAACTGAAACATGCCTTGAGGGTTGCCTTCTTTTTGGTTGTTGATTCACACAAACTCAGCAGTCAGTCAGAGAGAATGCATTATCTCTTTTAATAGTAAAGAATCTCACCATGTTGAAGAGAACAAAAAATGATACAGACAATTCTGTTGGTGTCCTGTTTTATGACGTATACAAATGTGTGCATGTGATTGTTTTGAAAATAAACAGTCTGAAGCAAACAAAACAATGGGAGGACGTCACAAATTATGTTTAAAAGTACAGGATAAAAATGATTGCACTGTTATGCTTTAAAACATTTTTATGCTTTCATTCCAAGAACTTAAGTATGTTAAAATGTATGTTTTATAAGGCCTCAAAGCCTCAAAGCCTCTGAACCGGCATGGAACAACATGTTACACTACTTCTAAGCATTATTGATCCTGTAAATGTTTCCTACCTCCATATCATAGCAAATTACCACAACTTTTGCAACCTCCTCTTGGTGTTTCTTTGAGAGAAATATGACATTGCAACATATTACATTGCACTGTTTCATAGATGCATAGAGAGTTCATTTTAAATTAATGAAAATGCTGACTAAATAGTACGTTCTTCTGCTCCATTTAGCTCTTTAAAGGCAGCATCGCTTAAAATTCATCAGTTCTCTTCAGTAAAGAAGTACACATAGTTTTGGAAGAAAAAAGTTACAATACTACATACTATTCTATTTTTATATTAAAATGAAATATGTAATATAAATAAAATATACAGGATTTATACAGACATACAGTGGGTACGGAAAGTATTCAGACCCCCTTAAATTTTTCACTCTTTGTTATATTGCAAGTTAAGTTAATTTTTTTTCCTCATTAATGTACACACAGCACCCCATATTGACAGAAAAACACAGAATTGTTGACATTTTTGCAGATTTATTAAAAAAAAAGAAAAACTGAAATATCACATAGTCCTAAGTATTCAGACCCTTTGCTCAGTATTTAGTAGAAGCACCCTTTTGATCTAATACAGCAATGAGTCTTTTTGGGAAAGATGCAACAAGTTATTCACACCTGGATTTGGGGATCCTCCGCCATTCCTCCTTGCAGATCCTCTCCAGTTCTGCCAGGTTGGATGGTAAACGTTGGTGGACAGCCATTTTTAGGTCTCTCCAGAGATGCTCAATTGGGTTTAAGTCAGGGCTCTGGCTGGGCCATTCAAGAACAGTCACAGAGTTGTTGTGAAGCCACTCCTTCGTTATTTTAGCTGTGTGCTTAGGGTCATTGTCTTCTTGGAAGGTAAACCTTCGGCCCAGTCTGAGGTCCTGAACACTCTGGAGAAGGTTTTCGTCCAGGATATCCCTGTACTTAGCCGCATTCATCTTTCCGGGGTCTGAATACTTTCCGTACCCACTGTATATTGAATATTTACATAGAATTACAGATAATTACAAATATTTAATTTGATAAATAGCCCTAATGTAATAAAATATTTTAATAAAATATTTAATTTATTTATTTAAAAAAAATTAAGCGTTAGCGTTAGTTCTGGCAGGTCACGTGAGTCAAGCTTGCATCAGCTGATTCTGTTTATTTGAACTCTGTGAATAGGAAGCAGGCCATTTAAAAACAAAGATCTCACTTTGGGACTGGGATGCCCGAAGCGCAATGGCACTATATGTCGGCTATTGGCATCAACACTTTGGGTGGGAACTTTTTCTTTGTGATTGCATTTGGGTTCTGAAAGAATTGTATAAAAATGTATGTTGTTATCAAGATGTAAATAAAGTAGCAGGAACAATGGGGTATAGGGTACTGGTCTTATCATTACCAATGGTTTAGACATTTCATGACCTATATTAATGGAATCCTACAAACAGATCAATATGTTAATCAATAATATGCATCTGTATTTGTCTGGAATCTGCCTTGTCACAGGATTCATTGTAAAATAGGTCAGAAGACTAATTCAGGAACAGATCTTGAGGATGACTTTCTGATAGCACAGAGTCCTATAAACACGGGGTTATGGAGGCTCACGGACGTATCTTCCAGTGTGATGAGGGAGGACAGTGTTTTTCACCTCAAACACAAACAAATGAACAGCACATTATGAACTTGCTGTAATGCAATGATCTATATTTTCCGAGTAATGAACTGATGTCTCAGTAATAACCTTAATATTGTGAAATCAGCTCATGTGTAAGGAGCCCTTACTTTTTTTTTTAAATAGATGTAAAATAATTGTAAAAATATGTAAAAGAAAACTTAGATAGGATAAAAGATAATAAATAAGATATATTTTGAGTTTATTTTCTTACCCTACTAGCAAAAAATCTAACAAAAGAATGGATGAATGAATGAATAAATAAACAATGAAAGAGGCATTTTCTGAACACAATGCAGTGAATGTATCATTTCAAGGATTTTTAGTTATTTCTACATACAAACATACTGATTAAATATGATTTCTGCAGTGCATATTAAATGCCATTAAAATAAAATGATGAAGTAAAGTGGATGTAAATGATGAATGATGAAGAGTGGAACAGCAACTATGTAAATGTCTTAACTTTGTCTTAACTGCTTTACGTTCAACTGGGGCTTGTGTGAACAGTAGAAGCTTTCATGACACTGATGTTTAAAAGACAATGGCTTGATTATCTGTCTTCGCCATATGTATGGGCCTCTGTTATTATCAGACTCTTGGCCCAAGGTGTTCAAACCCTTCCACTTCAATAAAGAAACTAGTCGAACGAATCCTTTGGATGAGTCCCACACAAATAAGTACACACCTGTGAGAGACAACAGGGAGGGGTCACAAACTACCTCCAAAGTGATTCTCTATTTTCTAAGAGGAGGGACAAATAAGAGAAGAAATGTACACCATATGCATGCCAATCTCAGACTGACAGAGCGAGGAGAAAGACTGATGACAGCCACTTAGAAACGCCAGGATACGGGATTGACTATATAATTACAACATCAATAACAGCTAATAAATGCAAGTAGGCATAAGCAGAAAAGCACTGTTTGATCAACAAAAGTCTGCGATGGCGTTTCTACAGCAGTTTGCACTTCTTCTGGCATTATTAATCGTTTTCAGTACTTCATGCAAGGCTGCAGCATTAGAAGTAGATACTGTTGAAGTAGGCCATAACTATTCTTCAAAGTCAACAGCCACTGAGGATACTAGTACCTCTACCAACAATTCCACCGATGGACAAGCCCCTTCGTCAATTACTACATTACCTATTGTCATCTGGAAATGGCATCATGTGGAAACTCCATACCTGGTGGCCCTCTGGATATTGACCTGTTGGCTTTGTAAATTAGGTAAGATCCAGCACCAAACTGAGTTTTTTTCATCTACAATGTTGGTATAATACAAATAGCAAAGGACAATAAAAATCTAGCTACCGTAAGCGTTTCTGGCACAAAAAAAACTGACTCTGAAGCTGAAGCAAATTTCAAGTTAAGCACTGTAAAAAATATATCATAAGACCGTAAAAATACGGTAAAAACCTGTTCATAGTAAGTTTCATAACTATATACGTTGAAAAACAGTAATCTAATAGGACACTTCATGTAATTCTACAGTAAAATACTGTTGACTTACAGTATTTTGGAAGTGAAAAATAAAAATTTATGCAGTGAAAAACCCCCATCAATTTACATTCCCAGAACTGCCTGTGTGACACTTTTTACATTTGATGGCTTATCACCGAAATAACAGTTTCTTCTTATTTTCTCGTATCGGTTATTGCATTATTTTAGTGTCATTTTGTTACCATGATGGTTTTTGTATTTGTATGACACTGTGTGCACCTTCTATACATTAGAATTTACCTCAGCTGCTACCTTCAGTAGCTTTTTATTACCACCAGTAATTTTATTACCACCTGTGTTTTTTTTGTTTGTTTTTATTTGGTTAAGGTTTGGTACCTTTTCATGCCTCAAATAATCGGTAACATTATAGGTGACATTTTGTTAAAGGTAAAGCTATTTTGTATTAGTATTCTTTACCAGGAATTTTCCACCCTATTTGGCAGTCTGAATGTTACCTGTTCACCCACTGTTAAAAATTAGAAGGTAAAATTTACTCCCACCGAATGGCACTGAATGGGCAAATTTGTCAGCTTATTATCGAATGGGAATCAAATAGGTTATCTGATATCGTCAGTATCGGATTACAGACAAAAGTTCTTTTCTGTACTTAAATAAAGCCCAAATAATGTGCTGCAAAACAAAATCACAGACATTTTAGCCAGACAAAAGCACTTCAAATTAAAATACTACAGTCCTGACAAATTCAAGATTTATCAGTCGATTTTATCTAAATCAAAGGTATTTTTCTATAAAATGCTGCCACAAAGAACAATGCACAGTGAATAAAGCTGGTCCACTTTCTTTTCATAAAGACATGAAGTATATTTGGATGGTGGACTTCTCCAAACAGTTACTCAGTTGTCTAAGCACTAAGCAGTCAGTTTCATAATAAAGCAGTATTTATGCCTGCCACCTAAAGGCTTCATGGAGGTACTACAGACTGAAACGCATAAGCACGCAGCATCAACAAAGAGCCACAGAGAGTGCAGTGTTATGCTGAATGGGTGTTACATCAGGTTTAGAAGTAGGTGTAGATGACATTAAGGGATTTTAATGGTGAAGCTTGAATAGGCTTGTCAAAACATAACTGTACAAACAATTGGGCAGAGATTTTGCTTTTGGAACTGGCATAAAAAGACGGCAAGTGACCAGAGATGTTCAAGCCTCATCAATGACAGTGACTTTGAACAGATTTAACAGGAGCAGAGTGGACGAGAAATTAGCGAAGAATACAAATAACACAGTGTTATGAAGGTTGAGTTCAAGGTTTATGAGTCAAGTTTAGATATAGGCGAGACAATCGGAATATTTTAAAAATGGAAAGGAAAGTTGCATTAGCATTAACCAATACAGCAACTTCTTTTGCCATAGTATGTGTGGTCTAAAAGTTCTTTTAGCCAATAAAATAGACAGAAAACATACTAATAAAAATAAAACAAAACCAAATTTCACTCAGAAATTGCTAGTAAATTTCACAAATAATTATAAAGAAATGGCATGTAGTGCATTCAATTAAGTACAAATAAATAAATAATATCAATTAAATAAAAATAATAGTATTTTCTTGTAAAATGTACTTTACAGTGAACTACACATATTTAGACATATGTAATTCTGCATTTGAAATGAGAAATAATGAATTATTTCATTTTTTCCAGTTTATTTCAGTCAAAACCAGTTAATAATCAATTGTGAATGTCATGTAATTAATTAGATTCAGATGTTTCATAAATTGACAACCTGTCAATAGGCTATAAGTCTGAAGGTGAGTGCTAACTGTATTTCTTCATGTTTCATGTCAATGTGACCTGCAGTTTTACGTCCAAGTTCTGTGTGTGCAAAGATCCCGTGTTCATAAACTCGCAGACTCTGTTAATTGCCTGTTGGCAAGAATTCAGCAAATGAGGTATATCATTTAGATTTAGTTCCAGGACATGATCTGTAACACATCACTGGCATCATGGACAAAGCTGGAGATCTACTCTCTGAGAAATTACAGTGCTGAAACAATACCTTACTGCTAGTTAATAATGTACTACATTAAATAATTAATGGGCCACCTGAATCTTTGACTTTCCTCAAAGGCACAGTGTCAGGTCAGCTTTAGTGCATGATAGTGGAAATCAGACTATAGCATTATAGTGTTTCAGACTATTTCAGATTTAAAGACTTGAAGTAAACTACACTAAAATATCCAATATATATATATATATATATATATATGTGTGTGTGTGTGTGTGTGTGTGTGTATATATATACATTTTGTCTACATATGTGTAGTTCACTGCAAAAATACTTTTCAAACAAACAAATACTGTAGATGTTCTGGCCTGTCTGTTCTGTCCTGTTCACCCTATCATTTCCTGTTCTCCCAACAATTTGTATTATTAAAAGTGACAAAAAGGCAAAAATATAACAATAGCTAACTTTAAATGATTAAAATCATTATTTACAGTTAATATACGCTTATAGATCTGAGAGAAATTAAAAAATATATAACTAATATTTCTCCTAAGGAAAGTCACTCCTGTGCATTGCAACATGCATCAAAGAGTCGGCATAAACCTATTCGCAATACCGGGACCTGATGTATCACGTTCTCGCGAATGTTGACCATTGATTCTGTTGCCGAGGTATGCGGTGTACATACTCACCATACAAGACATTGAGAAAGAACTACATCAATCATTACTTAAGATTTCCATAAAAGATGCATGCTACTATTTTAGTATTCTCAATTGTTAAATAATTTTAGCTCACTCGTAAAAACATTAAGTCAAGGTCACCCACAGCATACCCAAAGGACATGAACGTCCCCCTGAAGCTGCAACTTTCCCTACTATTTTTGACAATTGGTGTAGTTACAGAAATATATAGGCCTACAAGAGAGGGGTCAACAAGCCGGTGCAGAACAGTTTAATAGTTTAGGCTTGCTCTGTTTGTTAAGCATTAGGATTACATCCTTTATTGCCCAATTACACAGCTGGCGGGATTTAAACTATTTAACTACCCCAACCCAAGAGTAAACACGTATTCCACATAAAATCTAATAGTGTAGTCTGTAATTGTTGGCTGGCTGATCAATTGCAGCCTTATGCAATATGACACGTTTGAACAGACCACTATAAAATAAATTGAAATAATCCTGTTGCATAATATCATTTACATGCTACAAAGACATCGTAAAGTTCAGTAATCGTGGGCATTCAAATGTATAATCTCATTGAGAAGAAAGCATGACGGACCTTGTCTGGCAGTGGCAAAGCTTTTAAATGCTGTATGAAATAAGCCAGCGAGTAATCCAATAGGAAAAGACTCGTTTCTCTTAATGAGAGCAAATGGAGAGCAATTAAGTGTTTTGTTTAAATCTTCTGACACTTTTCACTTAATAAAACGTTCCCATAATGTCTCAAACTGTGCTCCTATTTGTCAAACAGTGTGATCAGTTTGATCTGTGCTTAGATCAAACATTTCCCATCAGATACTTCCAAAACTAAATGAATAAGGTATAGGTGTATAGTAATATTCTGTCCACTCCATCATGGTGGAGAAGAAGATTCAATCAATCCAATAAGATTCACTCTTAAAAATAAAGGTGCTTCACGATGCCATAGAAGAACCTTTTTGTCTAAATGGTTCCATAAAGAACCTTTAACATCTGAAGAACCTTTCTGTTTCACAAAATGTTCATTGTGGCGAAAGAAGGTTCTTCAGATTATAAAAAGGTAAGAAAGAGATGGTTCTTTAAAGAACCTTTGACTGAATGGCTCTTTGTGGAACCAAAAATGGTTCTTCAATTGCATCGCTTGAAGAACCTTTTGAAGCACCTTTATTTTTAAGAGTGTAGGCTATTGTTGTGTTTCATTGCAGCTTGTAATTAGTAGCCTGCCTAATGGACAGATGGCGTTTCTCAATCAGTGCACTTCTCCAGAGAGTCGGCCATTTAAAACTGCTTTAGTGCACTAGGCTATAAAAATTCCCCTAATGCCCCCCAAAACCAGTAAGCATCGGTCACTTACCGAATGTGTCGTATTCTCCCGTCTCAAGTCAGCCATGTAGGAGATGGCCGAAACAGCACAAAACACAAGTGCCGCCATCACGTGGTTAAAGAATGTAACCTGTTTGCTCTATTACTGCCATTTCTCAATATACTCCCTTATTAGCTCTCAGTTACTGCCTATGGTAATGTAGACCTACTGCAGTTTTTGAACTATGACAACATGTAGGCCTATTGGACGCTTTATTATTATTATTATTTAGTGATTTTAAAAATAAAGTATTCAAAATGTACATATTTTTATAATCATTTTGACTTTTAGAATGATCATCTGAAGGCTTTCCAACCCTCCTTCCTCACTGTTTTAAATAATGAGCTGCGGCTGCTGTTATTGATTAATGCTTTTATGCCTCATTGGAGCTGTGAACTTTTACACTTTTCAGTCTCAGTTAATCTTCTAACAATGACTTGCATCACATTTTGTTACTTTTCTGAAAGTCATGAACATTTCCACATTGTCATTTCTGATACATCAGAAATGATGTATCGAGTTCGACATTCTGCGGTGGAAATTCTATTTTTAACATGTTCGTCTTGGTAAGGTTAACTATAAATATAATAATTAGCAATTTATCCAAAATACACACAATTAAACAAAATTTTGTAAAACTGAAAGTCTGGGTTATAATAAAATGTACACATAGATTAGAAACAAAATACAGGTTTAGTGTGGTTCATATAAATACACGTGATTTATATAATTAAAATGCTGAAACGTATTATTTAAAAAAAAATTCAAGTTTGAAGAATTACTCAAATAGGCCTATGTAACATACACTACCCTTCAAAAGTCAGTAAGATGCATTTTTTCTTTCTTTTTCTTTTATTTAAGAAATTAATTATTTTATTCAGCAAAGACACATTAAATTGATCAAAAGTGACAGCAATGGAGACATTAGACTAAATCAGCATATTAGAATGATTTCTGAAGGACATTGTGAAACTAAATTCTGAATAATGACAGTTAAAAATTCAGCTTTTCATCATCTGTTTTTTTTTTCTCTTTTTGTCTCTTTTCTCTCTTTTTTTTTTTTTAGTGTGTGAACTGAACCACAATGCCACCAGTGTGATCCCAGAGAGTGGTCTGCTCATCATCCTGGGCTTTATTTTGGGAGGAATCGTCTGGGGAGCAGACAAAGCGCAGACTTTCAAACTGATCCCCGTCAATTTCTTCTACTACTTGCTTCCCCAGATCGTCTTGGATGCAAGTTACTGCATGCCAAACAAACTATTCTTCAGCAACCTGGGTGCCATTCTCATCCATGCCGTTATCGGAACGTGCTGGAATGCAGGCACAGTGGGCGTTGCGCTATGGGCCTGCTATGAAGGGGGTGCAATGGGTAAATCTGAGTTTTACAATGACATTTACAAACTTCTGAACAGATGCTTGAGAAAGCCAACTTGTCATTTAAACGAACGTTTTATATAAATGTACTTAAATACTTTCTATACTTATATGCTTGTTTAATACAAATGAATTACTTGATATACTTAATATATTTAATACACTAATGTTTTGTGGTCACATTTTTTAAAGAAATTAATACTTTTATTCACCAAAGACACATTAAACTGATCAAAAGTGACCGTAAAGACATTTATAATTTTACAAAAGATTAACACAAAAACATTAAGCAGCACAATTGTTTTCAACATTGATAATAATAAATGTTTCTTAAGCAGCAAATCAACATATTAAAATTAAATTCTGAAGGATAATGTGACACTGAAGACTGGAGTAATGGCCGCTGAAAATTCAGCTTTGTATCACAGGAATAAATTGCATTTTAAAATACATTAGAATAGAAAACTGTTACTTTAATTGCTAATAATATTTCGCAATATTACTGTCTTTCTGACCAAATAAATGAATAAACGCAGTCTTGGTGAGTATTAGAAACTTAAGTTAAGTTTCAGTCAGTTAATAAAACTAACAGTTTCACTAAACCTCAGGGACCTTGAACATCGGCCCTCTGCAGTTCCTAATTACATTTTAAAATACATTAGAATAGAAAACTGTTACTTTAATTGCTAATAATATTTTGCAATATTACTGTCTTTCTGACCAAATAAATGAATAAACGCAGTCTTGGTGAGTATTAGAAACTTAAGTTAAGTTTCAGTCAGTTAATAAAACTAACAGTTTCACTAAACCTCAGGGACCTTGAACATCGGCCCTCTGCAGTTCCTGTTATTTGGTGCCCTAATGTCTGCTGTGGACCCTGTGGCTGTGATTGGCGTGTTTGAGGAAGTGCATGTGAATGAAGTGCTCTACATCCTGGTGTTTGGAGAGTCCCTGCTCAATGATGGTGTCACAGTGGTGAGTCTCAGTTTTTCTCAACAACTCTGAATGTCACGGTTCATTTTTTTAAGAATCATGCTTGTTCATATGAAAATGTACTTGACTGTCAGATTCTATTTGATGGCTCTTACATCTATCTAATATTATGTATCTCTCTCGTTCTGGCTGTCGCAGGTACTTTATAATGTGTTTGATGCATTTGTGTCTCTGGGAGGCCCGAAGATCAACGCCGCAGAGATTATCAAAGGAATAGGTATGACTGAAATTGAAATAAAATAATTTTTTGTTTTTTATATTTAATTTAATTTCAGTTAATATCAAGTAATGTTTTTTATGGATTAGTTTTAGTTAATGACAATAACCCTTTTTTTTGCTCTCCCAGTTTCGTTCTTTGTTGTGTCATTTGGAGGCTCGTTTCTTGGTGTTGTGTTTGCCGTTCTGATATCCATGCTGACCAGGATTACCAAGAACGTCCAGGTCATCGAAGCCGGCTTCATCATTGTGCTTGGCTACTTGTCTTACCTGACGGCTGAGATGCTCTCACTGTCTGCCATACTTTCGTAAGATCTTCTTAAGGAACTCAATGCTTTCCTGAAGAATGAAAATAAATAAGTACATTTATAAATTAGTAAATGAATGTAAACTATTCATAAGAGTATCAGTAATCATTTACTGTGGCTTTGCGTGTGACAGGATCACTTTCTGTGGTGTCTGCTGTCAGAAGTACATTAACGCCAACATGGATGAGAAATCTGTCATAACGTTACGTTACACCCTGAAGATGATGGCCAATGGCTCAGAGACCATGATCTTCGTCTTCCTGGGAGTTTCAGCCATTGATAAAAACATCTGGGTTTGGAACACTGGCTTCATCCTCCTCACACTCTTCTTTGTTGTTGTATTCAGGTTCATGGGTGAGTTAAAGTCATTAATTCCTTGTAGACGCTTCCGATAACCCTATTAAGAGTATGGTCATAAAAACTGACATCAGTAAAAAAAAAAATTACTGATTATAAGGACTTATACTGTGTTTTTACGCTTTGTGTTGCGTATTGCGCCGCCTAAACATAAAACCATGTCTGCATTTGTGATCGGAGAAATGACAAACAACA